CAGTGTCTGTGACCGCCTCCGTGGTGTAGTGGTTAGAACGTCCGCCCGGTGATCGGAAAGTCGCGGGTTCGATCCCCGACCGCGTCATACCAAAAGACGTTAAAATATGGTACTTGTTGGTCCCTGCCTGGCGCTCGGCATTAATGCGTACAACAAGGATTGGTCGGCTCAGAGTCAGTATAATGTGTCTGAGTGGGGTATTCATGCTTCACTGCGGCATGGTATCTCAGTGGGCTAGCACTATAAAACCAGCTTAAGTCTGGGCTAGTACAAGCAGCCGCATAAACACATACGCACGCACGTCGTCATATGAGCGAAATATTCTCAAGCACGACGTTAAATCCAATTTCACCTCACCTCATCAGTGTCTGTAGTTTAACGACAAATGTCACGTAGGATAAGCTGATAAACGATTGTGAACAATTGACTAGGCTTTGTATGATTGTGTTTATGTCTTTTTTTTGTTGTTTAACGCCGGACCCATCAATATTCCAGCTATATGGCGGCGGTCTGTAAATAATCGTGCAGACCAGACAATCCAGTGATCAACAGCATGAGCATCGATCTACGCAATTGGGATACGATAGCATGACTGTGTTAACAAAGTCACAAGGGGTATTATCACTTTTACTTACGCTGTCAACGAAGGTCGACCATGGGAACACGACACAGGCCCCCTTCCTTTAAAATAGTGCCAAAAAACAAGTAGCGACAATATACATGTATACCTTGATGCTATTGTTTTGGCGTTAAAAGTCCCAGTGGTTCAGAAAATGCAAGTTTAAGAAATGGCTATCTGCAACAATATTTTAGAAATGGACCATCTCGGGAAAATAATTGCATGGTACATTTCAAACCGAAAATATTGTTTAGGTTATCCGTGTTACAAGGTATTATATTTCCCATGGACCCCCACCCCACATCCCCCTTTGAAAATGACTAAAGCCGACATTGAAGTTAATGTTTTGCATTGGTGGAGCCAAGGGGGAGGGGGTTGTTCAGGGAGTTCGAAATTCCAATGAAATTCCAATGTCAAGGCTCCCCTGCTACTCGGAAACACGATGTATGGTTGACCTTTTAGTCCCAGAGCCAAATAAACCGTCTGTTTGCGCCTCTGTCTAGTTCATTTCCTCGCTGAACTCGAAATATATTTGATAAAATCTCTACATGACCTCTCAGGGGTCTCACTTCCGAAAGTATATAATCCATATGAAAGACATAATGCAGGATTAAATCACTGGATGAAATCAATGGACATGAATGCAATGTATAACACTGTTATATGGATGATATGTCAATATATGACGTTCTAACTAATGTCAGTATCTAGAGCCTGTTTCCGGCAACGCAAAGAGGATGCAGCAACCATGGTTACAAGAAGGTGAAGGTCAAATGATACCATTCATTTAGAAACAATGGTGCGTCTCGTTCAGGAACCACCGGTTCAGTACAAAGTAAGAAAAAGATTTTAACTTCAAACAGCAAGTGCTTAAGGTATTGATTAGAGGATGTATTTTATAACATTGCTTTGAGTCTGTCGGTAACACCAGAAATGAATTCCACCTAATGCATTTTAACTGGTTTTGAATATTCCAATCAAGGGAATTGAAGCGTTATATAAAAAATTATGCAGGTAACTCTTTTAGACAGTATTCACTATCCCTTTATAACAACCAGTTTCATTTTCGCAATTCAACACAATATTGTTCAGTCACACGAACGTCCACCATATTGTCATTAAGAATTTTGTTTTTGAAAACAAATTTGATTCAACTCCCTCAAGTGATTGCAAGCACTTCTGTTAATAACGTTCAAACAATCAGCGAACACTCAAGGTAATTTCTTAATGTTAAGTTATGTATATCAAAACAATGTAGAAATGTTCTATACCTGATTGTATGCGTGTCTGTCTTGTTTGTTTAAAAGATATACAAGGACCCGTAAAGGTCCAGGTTAGAATTGATCTTCAGCAACCCATGCTTGTCGTAAGAGGCAACTAACGGGATTACAGACCGCCGCCATATTGCTGGAATATTGCTGGGTGCGCGTAAAACTAAACTCACTCACTCACACTAAAGATATATTGGAGGTATTGTTTAATGATTTTATAAAATGAATGGGGTCCTATAAAAAGAGCCTGGGACGCTACTCGGTCAACCAACACACCTCGATATAGCACTTGGTAGCACAATAGGGCGAACTTGTTCAACATACGTTGGTCTAGTTCAAGATCTTTCGATCTTTAGAAGTGGAAATACGGTGACCTGGTACCGACATTGAATACAGCAAACTACTTTTATAACGAACACGCTTATACCAAACTGACGGATATACCGAACTGACGGATATAACGAACTGACGGATATACCGAACGGACGGATATAACGAACTGACGGATATAAAGAACTGACGGATATACCGATCTGACGGATATAACAAACTGACGGATATACCGAACTGACGGATATAACGAACTGACGGATATAACAAACTGACAGATATACCGAACTGACGGATATACCGAACTGACGGATACACCGAACTGACGGATACACCGAACTGACGGATACACCGAACTGACGGAGTGCTTGAGAAATTATTTTTTTTCAAACCTTTCTGAGGTTGATCGTTGTAAGTTTCTCGTGTACCTACTAATGCTTAGGCATTCCTTCGATCGGGGACAGATTTACCCAGTTTGTCGAAAGCAGATATGTTAGATTAACCCAAATCTAATGGGTTAACTACAGGTATCATCTAACGGGTTAACTATCTAGAAACTAGGAAAATCTAATGTGCTAACTGTAGGGGAATTAGGAAAATCTAACGGGTTAATCATAGGGAAACTAGGAAAGTCTAACGGGTTAACGATAGGGAAACTAGGAAAGTCTAACAGGTTAACTATAGGGAAACTAGGAAAGTCGAACAGGTTAACTATAGGGAAACTATGAAAGTCTAACGGGTTAACGATAGGGAAACTAGGAAAGTCGAACAGGTTAACTATAGGGAAACTATGAAAGTCTAACGGGTTAACGATAGGGAAACTATGAAAGTCTAACGGGCTAACTATAGGGAAACTGGGAAAGTGTAACAGGTTAACTATAGGGAAACTATGAAAGTCGAACAGGTTAATTATAGGGAAACTATGAAAGTCGAACAGGTTAACTATAGGGAAACTATGAAAGTCGAACAGGTTAATTATAGGGAAACTATGAAAGTCGAACAGGTTAATTATAGGGAAACTATGACAGTCGAACAGGTTAATTATAGGGAAACTAGGAAAGTCGAACAGGTTAACTATAGGGATATTAGGAAAGTCTAACGGATTACCTATAGGGAAACTAGGAAAGTCTAACAGGTTAACTATAGGGATATTAGGAAAGTCTAACGGGTTACCTATAGGGAAACTAGGAAAGTCTAACAGGTTAACTATAGGGATATTAGGAAAGTCTAACGGGTTAATTATAGGGAAACTAGGAAAGTCTAACGAGTTAATTATAGGGAAACTAGGAAAGTCTAACGGGTTAACTATAGGGAACTAGGAAAGTCTAACGGGTAACTGGGTTAACTATAGGGATACTAGGAAAGTCTAACGGGTTACCTATAGGAAACTAGGAAAGTCGAACAGGTTAACTATAGGGATATTAGGAAAGTCTAACGGGTTAATTATAGGGAAACTAGGAAAGTCTAACGAGTTAATTATAGGGAAACTAGGAAAGTCTAACGGGTTAACTATAGGGAAACTAGGAAAGTCTAACGGGTGAATTATAGGGAAACTAGGAAAGTCTAACGGGTTAACTATAGGGATATTAGGAAAGTCTAACGGGTTACCTATAGGGAAACTAGGAAAGTCGAACAGGTTAACTATAGGGATATTAGGAAAGTCTAACGGGTTAATTATAGGGAAACTAGGAAAGTCTAACGAGTTAATTATAGGGAAACTGGGAAAGTCGAACAGGTTAACTATAGGGATATTAGGAAAGTTTAACGGGTTAACTATAGGGATATAAGGAAAGTCTAACAGGTTAACTATAGGGAAACTGAGAAAGTCTAACAGGTTAACTTTAGGGATATTAGGAAAGTCTAACGGGTTACCTATAGGGAAACTAGGAAAGTCGAACAGGTTAACTATTGGGATATTAGGAAAGTCTAACGGGTTAATTATAGGGATAACTGGTTAACTATCGAGAAGCTGGGAAAATCTTTTATAAGTTTAAGGGAACTGAGATAGCCTAACGGGTTAACTATTGGGAAACTGGGAAAATCTAACGGGTAACTATCGATAGGTGTAAGGCAACTGAGATAGCCTGACGGGTTAACTATTGGGAACGTGGATAAGCTAACAGGATACGTTTAGAAGAACAGCCCACAGATACTCTGACCACTACACTATGCAAAATGGATCACTGATACACATATCATATAATGAACATTGGGCATGCACTATATGTCACAGTTTCTGATAAATGCGGAGACACATTTGAATTGGTTGTAATGAAGCCCTTCCTTCGTTGTAAATATATAGCAACATTGCCAACATAAATGAAGGTGTTTGTAGCTTACCACCGCACAACAGTACTATGTGTGTGTGTGTGTGTGTGTGTGTGTGTGTGTGTGTGTGTGTGTGTGTGTGCGTGCGGGGACAGCATAAAATGTGCTGCACATATTTTACCCATGTAGGAAATCGAACCATGGTCTTTTTTTTGTGTGACGAGCGAACGCTTTAACCACTTGCTTTCTCCATCGCCCAGACGAGCTAAAAGCGCATGGGCGCCTTTAAAGGATGTTTTGAGGATAGGTTGTGAAAGAAAGTCATTATTAAATGTAATATGTTAAGTTATCATTTAAAGTATTAAACATGTTAATGTTTACGATAAACATGTGTTTGTTTGGTTTCCAGCATGAGTGCTGAAATTTCAAAATTTAGACCTGTCACGATACAAATGCAAACCATCTTTTTAGCTTAAATTCCGCAAATGTATAAATGAATTAAAAATTGTTACCTTTGTTGAAGACATGCGTTGAAGCACCTGAAACTTGATTGGTCATGCTAGCAGTCTGTTTGTCGTATAAATAACATTCACCGTTATCTCCATCTCCTGAAGACACTAAGGTCACACAGTTGTCAATATACAAACAATTTTCAATGCACTTATAAGTTGGTGTCCTCTGTGAGAATAATATAGGATTATCCGAAAACATCACATTTGTTAAGTCCTCTCGCCGTCTGAAGTCGACGCGCTTAATTTCACCTTTAACATACTGTCCCAGAAAAATTAACAGTAAACTCCAAATGAAATTAACCATGGTGTCAGTCAACTTTGATTGCAGCGAGTCGCACGGATTCTGCGTGTTGCTCGAGTCACATCTGTCTGCGCGAGTGTGTTACCGGTTGATATATCTGTGCTTGAGAAGAAAATTAGATCGATCTGGGATCAATAATCAGCGAAGCATATTGTCATTTCGAGGATTTATTTCGTCCGAAATTATCAGCATGTAGTTTTTTTATGTCATAAAACTCAACTCTTAAATATTTTGGTTGATGTAAACATCTATAAAGGAGGAAATGTCTCAGTGGGTATATTTTATTAGGAGTGGGGGAGTATAGCGCACTTTTAAGACCAGCAAGATTGCGTTGTCTGTTGCCGTTTAACGCAGCATACAGTACTCCAGTTTACATGCATGATGGTGACCTGTAAATGGTCGATTCTGGACCAGTTCTGATGATTGATATTATGAGCACTGATCCACCCCTTCGGGTCATGGTGGCACAGAGTTAAGTTAGTCACCGGACCGGACCACCCGGTCCATTAAGCTCTCCATTTAGACAAACAGCAAAAATATGAGTGAGTGAGTGAGTGCGTGACTGAGTTTGGTTTTACGCCGCTTTTAGCAATATTCCAGCAATATCACGGCGGGGACACCAGAAATGGGCTTCACACACTGTACCCATGTGGGGAATCGAACCCAGGTCTTCGGCGTGATGAGCGAACGCTTTAACCACTAGTCTACCCCATCGTTCCTCGAAAATATGAAACAGATCGAATATCAACTTAATTTTTTATGTGATATTGGAGTGATTAGGAATAATTGAATACATATTGAAACTGGAAGTATTTGCTTACTGGCGCTTTGAGACAAGTGGTGATCGCCACAGCTAAATCATGACAAAGAAACGGAAAGAAGTGGGAATGATCAGTCTACACTATCAACTGTCATTGAAATTCGATTCCCCACATGGGTACAATGTGTGAAGCCCATTTCAGGTGTCCCCCGCCGTAATTTTCCCGGAATATTGCTAAAAGCGGCGTAAAACCAAACTCACTCACTCGAGTTTTATCACATTTGACATGTGTCTAGTTATATTCCGTTTGTAATATGACGTCACACATCAAATCTTCATAAAGATAAGATAAGACGATATTGTATTTACGTGTCACGTGGTATGCATACAAATATATATAATCACAATGACAAGACAATTTAACATATACACCACTCGGCTAGCTGGCCTATGAGACACGAAGTGTCTTGGAAAATCGTAGCAATAGAATAATAGTATAAAGGCACCAGTTGACCTAAATGCAAGTTATATATGTTCAATAACCACGTGCTCCACACACGACAGAAACCTTTCCAAGCGGTTTGTTAAGTAGTGCCATTGTCGTTATTTGTTCCGAGTTTGTTGCTTATTTAGATTTAATGGATTTGTGCTGACAGATGAAAGTATAGACAGATGTTTGATAGTGGTAAACGATTGAAACAAACAACAGACGCTCATCGATGGAGCTGTGACTTCATTTCTCTGGTCGATCAGACTGTGCGAAAGGTCGATGTGACATGGGAATATGTTTGTTAGAGAGCGGGAACTATGGTCTCATTTTAATTCAATTGTACGGGGTTAGTGTTTTTTTACCTCGGGTTAGGAACGTTTCGGCGTGTTTTAACCTAGTCACGTTTTGAGAGCGTTTTTAATATGTTTGTCTAACATCTGTTGTAATTATCGTTTAACGTCGCTGTCAGCGATACTCCAGCTAAATGGCGGCGGTCTGTAAATAATCGAGTCTGGACCAGACAATCCAATGATCATCATCATGAACATCGATCTACGCATCTGGGATACGATGACATGTGTCAACCAAGTCAGCGAGCCTGACCATCCGATCCCGTTAGTCGCCTCTTACAACAAGCATGGGTTGCTGGAGACCACGGTTCTGTTGGTCTAACACGTTTGTGGTCTAACACAATTTCTTAAGCCGGTGAGAGGCAGTGGGGTAGCCTAGTGGTTAAAGCGTTTCGACCCGGGTTCGATTCCTCACATGGGTACAATGTGTGAAGCCCGTTTCTGGTGTCCCCCGCCGAGATATTGCTGGAATATTGCTAAATCACTCACTCACTCTTCACCAGTGAACGAAAGTAAGCATATATTGCGCCAGATATTACGTCACATTTAACATCCGGGAAACATTCTTTTTCGGCAATGTGATTATACTCCTTCGGACAAACACCGTTATGTCGAACTATAATGTGTCAAACGTTTGACCTGAAGTAAAAGCTTATTCCTATTCCGTATATAGCCTTCATTATGCGGTTGTGTCGAACCTCTTATAATAACTCGAAGTATTCACGTAAATCCCTTAAACTTCTAGGGGCGGCGGATTAGCCTAGTGGTTAAAGAACCACTAAACTTTGTTTTTTGTTACTCTTTTAACCATTACATATGAAAGATTTGTGGTTAGTCTTATGCGGAACACCAAATTTATTCTTTAAAAACTTGTGGTTAATTAATACCGAGCGATTAAAAGTGGCCAAAAAAGTCGCCTGCTTCCCTCTCGCCCGCGAACGAAACCACAGACAGGTTACGTAACTCTGTCGCCAGAGCACTGCAGTGACGTCATATGAAGAACGATTTTCAGTTAGATGTATAGAAAGTGTGTAGCACGCTCATCATTTTGTTGATTTCTCGACATGAACGACGACATGCCGAATCGTTGCTTTGTCGTCAATTGCCCCTAGGGGTCGGGTGATGGTGTCACCATGCACAGATTTCCACAGGACCCCGCAGTTCGTGCTAAATGGGTTATGTTTGTGAGTGCGAAGCGAGCGTTGTGGAAGCCTGAAACGATATCTTACTTGTGTTCAGATCGCTTCACGGAAGTTAAAGAATCAAAACTACTTACTAGTTATAGTAAAATATGTATATGATTGATGACCATAAAGATTTTCCATAACACAACTTGTAACATAACGATTTCTTCCTCGGAAGTGAGGTTGTGGTCGAAGTAACAATAATATTGTAAGTAGTATTATATTGACACCCACCTCGCTGCCAGGAGAAATTGTTATGTTATATACGCTATGTCATGCAAAAATCCTATTGGCCATCAATAAAATACATATTTTTCTACCAGTAGAAAGTAGTTTTGATTTTGTAACTCGGTGAAAACAAACCTAAATAGCATTTATCCACAGACTTGCGGATGTTCCCGATAGGGCGCCGCCATTTTTGAAAATCGTAAAGTCTGTTAGAATTAATGAGATTATAGTTTGTTTTCGTCAAGTTAGCAAATCAAAACTTCTTTCTACTCGTAATTAAATATGTATTGGAATCATAACCAAAAGGATTTTGCATGACACAACTTATAACATAACGATTTCTTCCACGGAAGCGAGGTGGGGGTCGAAGTCACAATACTGCGCGATACATTTCTTGCTACATTCACATGGTTAATGTCCACTCACCAGTATGTAGATACTAGTCAATGTGCGTCTTTATATTTGGTCTTATAATCCTAATTAGTTTATTATCATACTTTTATGCATTATGAACCTAAATAAAAAGCTGACGATCTGCTGATACTTATAGTGAATTTATAACAGAACTGTAATATCTAGACATTTTATAGTTTGCCAATGTGAATCATAATTCGCACACACACCCTAGTGTATGTTGTCTGTCTCATTACACTTCACGGCGAAAACAATGATTCTGTTGAATGCTACGACAAATGAATAAAAAACAAAATGCAAATATTAAAATTAAAACAGATTAAAGTTATAGGAACAATATCAGGCCATTACCTTGTTTGAGGAATGTATCCATCAATATCCACAAAACTGTTCCAAATGATGTGTCTTTTAACAGTTTAATATTTGAAAAAGTGATAAATCTTTTCAGGTATTGGTGTATAGTCTCATTGGTCACTCAAGATAGCACACCTGGCAACTAATTGCATAATGTCCGCCTTTCATTAAAAACAGTAATTTAGTTAGCCAATAATGGGCAATCAATCAATGTATTGCCGGTTAATCCTTTGAAAGAAGGACGTTGTTTTTACGCAGACACCGACACGGCAGAGTGTTTTCAGTATAGATTAGTAAATCTACATACATAAACACTACCTTTTGACAAATCCGCTGTGTAAGATAAAAGTAATTAATCAATCAGCGTGTTATCGGTTAATCCTTTGATCGATGTTTATAATGTTGAATATTTACTCCAGACACAAGAAATGCCAAATGGGAACCTTTGTCGGGTAATCTAAGTGTGTTACCACTAATTATACCTGTTATAAATTCTTTAACTGACCATCAAGTGAATGATGACAAATAACATGTGTAGGTTTATACCACCTAACACGGGTTACAACAAGGGAGTATTAATTGCTGTATTGCATGTGAAAACTTATGGGCCGACACTGTTTTGAGAATACAAACAGATTTTTTACATGACATGATTAAATATCGAGGTAAAAACACAGAAATGGGATCAATTTGGATCAGTCATTATACAGATAGGGCCAAACGACACCAATCAATTGTGACAGAAGCGTCTATGAAAACAAGTTGTAACTCGGAAACTAGGCAAAGCAGGAGACAAAATTAAATGCCAGTAGATTGTGAGAACATATAGCTTTCAGTTTCCACAACAATTGTCACGATTTCAGGTTTATACAAGCCTGTAAACAAGATAATTTACCCCCTAAAATGTAGATGAATTCTGCATCGGCCCTCAAAGGTATTCCTCATATGACGTCACAGAGTCGCGCCGCTCTGATTGGTTGAAATTTCGTTCGCGGTTGAGAATTGTGCACTGTTGTCAAAAAGGTCGATTTAAGTCAATTAAAGGTCGAAATGAGTAGTTTTAATGACGGGGTTTCATTTATAACGATGCCAGTTAGTGATTTATGTATTTTTACCCCCTAGGGTTTATGTGACCTTTAAAGCGTTCGCTCGTCACGCCGAAGACCCGGGTTCGATTCCCTACATGGGTACAATTTGTGAAGCCCATTTCTGGTGTCGTGATATTGCTGGAATATTGCTAAAAGTGGTGTAAAACCATACTCACTCACTCACCCTTCAACTTCGTCACGACGGTGTTAGACTGAACTACGAGAGTGAGGATTTTCGTTCGGCCTTTTCGTTATAATTTGTTTTGAGTGTTTTCACCTCTATTTTTGCTGTTTACGCCACGTGGTGCTGTTGATAATTTAGGTTGAGTAAATGTCCGTTTTAAAGGGGAAGTTTACAAGAAAAAAAAGCAAGTTCTTTCGTAAGTGAAACAAAACTGATTTTAAGATTAGTGAATAATGTTTGAAAATAGACTCTCATTTTTCTCACATTGAAAGTAGAAAGCTCTTTATAAGTGTTGAAGTGTTAAGCCAAAAACGAGACCTTTGTATTCCAAATTAAGCAGGCCAGAGTCACCTCCCTTGGACTATGACGTATTTCGTGCCAGTTGATTCAGACTAGTCTCCTGCTAGACCCAATGCCAAACATACCAGTATTGAAATTAATCGCGTGAAGTAATATGTCGAACGATGCATTATAAATGAAACTGAAAGCAGCAGGATACATTGACCGTGTGTATTTTCATTCATAAACCTCACCTCACAACAATGTTGACGTATGTATGACATCACTATTGGTAAGCGACTTTCCGGAATTTGACACGTAAGAACCATATTTCCTCTAATAAGCGACGGCCCCTTAAGCGCCGGGGGTAAAGCAGCTGTTAAAAAAATAAGCGCAGGATCTCCAATAAGCGCCGGGAGTGCTTCAATGGAGTTTTCAAATAAAATGCACATGGAGAATCTATATTTATTTAGGTTGAAACTTCAAGTGCCGGGTCTCATCAAGGGATACGATGACATGTGTCTACCAAGTCAGAGTCTGGTCACCCGATCCCGTTAGTCGCCTCTTACGACAAGCATTCTAACCCGGATCTTCACGGGTCGGGTCTTTGGCGTTTACCACACAGGTGAAAGCCTGGTTATGGCCCTAACGTAGCTATAAACATAATCAGGGCAAACCGGGATTCTACCATGGCTACGTGAAATGCTCGAATTTGATTGGTCAAGCCATAAAATCAGACGGTATCAATTTGGATTGAAAATGCGTCTGATTTCACGGCGCTTCACTGCGCACGTATACAACAATGCCGCACTACTTCAGCTTGGCCACCAACATGACTAATATCAACACAACAGACGTGATGGAAATGCTGATGAAACATTTATTAAAACTCGAAAAATACAATTATACGATTTCTCCTCCACAATTATTAGGGGATCTCACTATCATAAGTATTACCTTCTATTATAAAAATATTAAAACTCAATTACAATACACAGCCCCACACATTAACAAACAATATCTAACATATAAATCAGAAAACCATGTAACAATACATCCCTATCTATCCCTATTTGTGCGGCAAAACGTTTGTAAACATTTACCTACCTGGTAAATGGTATATTTGTTTCCGTTTAGAATGGGAAATTCGCAAGATAACGGTCAGGCGAAACACAAAATTGGAAATTTCACAAGCACACGTAGTGTGTAAAGTGAAATTATAATTTCATTAGTAAACATAGTAGATGTGATATTGGTATCTTCATCATGATATCCGGAAGTAGGCCATATTTAAAGCTAGCGAAGTCTCGCTGTGCGAGATCTCGCGAGGCAAATTACCCATAAACCCTTCTTCATAAGGGACGAAATTAGAAAAGAACACAGAGTAAAGGAAAAACATTTAATCAGATCATACAGATCTATTGAATTTGAACTTCAAACGGAAAAAACCCTAGATGGGGTCAGTGGCCACAAGTCATCCAGTGGAGCGCCCTCCTCTTCCTGGCCAGCTCCGCTGTAGTCCAGACCCACAGCACTCAACTGCAAGTAAAGAGCATAGCATTATCAGCTATGACTTGGTTGAATCACTCAGATCAATCCAAAACTGTAAAATATTAAAATCCATTAAGACTGACATAAATTCAAAACGTTTCCTGGAATGAAGTTAAATCTTAGCAATGCAATAACTCTGAGAAATGCCAAACAATCTAGGCAATTCAGGGTGGGAGACAGGGTAGGGAATATCACATCTACTATGTTTACTAATGAAATTATAATTTCACTTTACACACTACGTGTGCTTGTGAAATTTCCAATTTCATGTCATAAACATAGTAGATGTGATATTGGTAGTTCAAAGCCCGGTAGTGTCAAGTATCTTTGACAAGCAGTTGCCACTGCTGATAGTATTTCTCAGATAGAAGGTTCTGAAAGTAGAGGCCTTGGTCCAGTTTCCCAACTTCAAAATGTCTGTGACAGAAGCACCTTTGGCAAATGCCTTTGAAGCACTAGCTCCTCTGACAGAATGAGCTTTGTAGTGTGAAGTGTCAATACCCGCCTCGCTCATAAGATTTGTCACCCATCTTGCAATACTTGGGGATGAAACCGGTTTATGCGGTTTCACATAGCTCAAGAGAAGGCCAGACCTACATTCATCTCTCCAAGGTTCTGTGCGTTCTAAGTACACTCTAAGGCATCGAACTACACAGAGTGCAGGGTCCTTCTCATAGGCACTGAACCTCAAGGGATGAAGTTTTGTTCCTGTCTTAGTCACCTTGGTTGGTTTAATCAGGGTAAATTCTACTTCAGTGCCCCTGTCTACCATGTGTCTGATATCCAGGGAAGATAACTCTGAAGACCTGCTAGCAGAGGTTAGCATCAGAAGCATTGTCAACTTCCCAGACAAGTTTTTATCCGACAAATAGATATTATCTTTCTATTTTTTCAAATATTGCTGCACCAAATCTACATCCCAGGCCACTGAGTATCTGGGCTGAGGAGGATTCTGATTAAAAATCCCTGACATTAATTTCCTGACCAGTGGGTGCTGACCCACATTATAGCCCTCGATAGTGGGGTGAAAAGCAGACAAAGCTGATCTAGCTGTATTTATGGCCCTGTACTGATTATTCTCGTGGTACAAGTGAGAGAGAAAGTCTAAGATAGACTCCACAGAGGCTGAAAAGGGATCAAAACCCTGTTGATTGCACCGGCCATTCCACCTATTCCAGGAAGCATTGTAAGCGCCTTGTGTGCCAGGTCGCCATTGACAGGAGAGCAGCTGTGTAGTCGCCTCGGAAATTCCTCTGGTCTTGATGCTACGCCGGAAACCTTCCATGCCGCTAACACCAGAGTGTTGTTTTCTATCAGTGGATGAGGCAGGTTTTGCGGGGAGTTTAACAGATCCCTCATCTGTGGGAGGAGGATTGGCTTTGTGACCGCCATCTCCAAGAGGAGTGGATACCAGGACTGACCTTGCCACACTGGAGTTATTAAGACCAGCTCCGCTTTGTCCTTTCGGATCTTCCACAGACACCTGCCTATCAGTGAGAACGGGGGAAAGGCATAAGGAATCCCCTGGTTCCAATTCACTAGAAACGCATCTGTTGATTGTGCAAGGGGGTCTGGCCTCCAGCTGCAGAACGGCTTCATTTGGAAAGTCAGTCTCGATGCAAAAAGGTCCATTGAGAAGGGACCCAGTATCTGGTTGCATTGAGCAAAGATGATTGGATTGAGCATCCAATCGCTCGAGTCGTTGAAGTGGCGAGACTCCCAGTCCGCATGAATGTTCTCTACCCCTGGCAGATAGACTGCTGTTAAGAACAGACGGTTCTGGAGACAGAAACCCCATATCTGCTTTGTGATCTGCAACAGACTGACTGATTTTGTGCCCCCCAAATCGGTTCACATAAGCCATGGCTGTCTGATTGTCCACTTGGACCAAAATAGATTGATCTTTGATCCCCTTGCAAAAGGTCAAGAGTGCCAGATGAATTGCCTTCAGCTCTAGAACATTTATGTGCATACTCTGCTCTATCTCTGCCCAGCGGCCTCCTGTTGATCTCTGGCCGTGTATTGCTCCCCATCCCTTTTTTGATGCATCTGTCTGGAGAATTACATCTGGATGAGCTGCCATGATTGGCTTCCCGTTGAAATTGGTGAGGTTGGTCATCCACCACTTCAGTTCCTCCAGACAAACCGAAGGCAGTGTAATCATTGACTCGTAACTCTGAGAACGCAAAAGCTCCCTGTTCGAATGCATCTGCAGGTAACGACAATGCAGTTGAGCGGGTAAGATTGCTCTCATTGAAGCTTACAGTTTTCCTATCAAACTTGCCAGTTGTCGAATCCTTACCTGTTTCTTTCTCATCATGTGACGACAGGTTGCTACAATGTTCTCTACCTTCTCCTCTGGTAAGATCAGAGTACGATCCACCGTGTTTATCTGAAACCCCAGGAAAGTGATCGACTGGGTTGGTGACAGAACTGATTTCTTCCAGTTTATGACAAAGCCTAGGGACTGGAGGAGAAAGATGAGGGTGTCCCTGTGTTGACTCAGCAGGGTCGGCGATTCCGCTATACACAAGATATCGTCCAGGTATATAATCAAGCGGATGCCTGCTCGCCGTGCCAAATTTACCACTGGGCGAAGAAGTTTTGTGAATGCTCTTGGAGCTGGGGCAAGTCCAAATGGCATGCATCGGAACTGATACAGAACACCCTTCCAAGAGAAGCGGAGTAGCTTTTTCATGTGGGGTGCCATTGGGACGCTGAAGTAAGCATCCTTCAGATCCAGCTTGCAAAGGTAGTCCCCTTTGCGGATCAAGTCCCTTAGAAGGTGTAGTCCTTCCAACTTGAAGTGTTTGTAAGGAATGTGAGCATTGAGGGCCTTGAGATTTATGATTGGCCTCTGCCCTCCATCCTTCTTGGGAACCATGAACATAGGACTTAGAAACTGATCCGAGTCCATCGAAGCAGACTGGGGAACAACCTCTATCACATGTTTGCAAAGCATTGATTGGATCTCCTGGCTCAAGGCTAACTGTCTTGTGAGCTTTAGTTTTGGTTGAAACACGCGATTCTGAATAGGTTTTGACAACAGAGGAATCTCGAAACCCGAAACTGTCTGAAGTATCCATGGATCTGAAGTGATCTTTTGCCAGTTTTTTAAAAAGTGTACCAGACGACCCCCTATGAGGGATTCCTGTAAAACAGAAGATCCAGGTTTAGCTCTAGAATTGCTGGGATAACCTGTAGATGTAGCATTGAGGAAGGAGGAGCATTGTGGGAACAGGCGTTGCTGACATTTGACCCACCTGGTATGTGAGAGTCTGCGATTCCGACCGGACTGACCGGCTCTTCCTCTGCCTCTGGAAGAGTTGCCTCTGAAACCTCTGTTGAAGGAGGGCTTGATGTGGAATGTGCCCCCAGTAGATTGTCTTACTCCTGAGGGCATTCTCTGAAAGGGCTGTCTATCACGGTGACTGGGCCCTTGGTGTCTGAAAGTAGGTCTGCAAGCTGAACGTCTCTCAGCATCAAATATCAATTTGGCTTTGGTCTTACGTTTTACCTCCTTCAGCATGACGTCATAAAAGGCATCTCCGAAGAGTCTGCCCTTAGCCTCTGACAAAGCTGTGTCATGCTTGAGAATGAGACGTTTAGCCTTCTTGACATCCTTAGAAAGTTTAGCCAGAATGTTTAGCCTTCTGTTGTAATTCATGGAGACATTAGCCTGACCGATAAGACAGGTGGTTTTCTACCAATTCCAACAGCTCAAAGATGTCTAAATCGGCGGGGATTCACCTCTGCGGATCTTATCAAGGTTATGCCACAGGTGACATAGAGGCCCAATGGAATTCAGAATCCGCTTTTGAATAAATTGAAGGATTGGTCAAACTTTTCTCGAACGACTTTCCCTTAGCCTCAAAGAGGTCGTCCAGATATGGATCCAGAGAAGGTGTCTGAAGACATTCCTCTGAAGGGACAGGGAGATCCTCTAGAATATTTCCTTCTAGTTTGGAATCCTGGCAGAAGACAGAGAAATTTCTCTGAGTCTGTCGTGAGAGAGTATGCGGGAGACACCATTCTGATGGGTCTTTGGCATCAGCTAACGAGAAGGGGACGTAATCATCGAAAGTCTCTATTGTTCCTGTCTTATTGATTACCGGTTTAGACGGAACGACCCTTTTATCCCCACGTTGATTCGTAGCAGACTCAACGTAAGATTCGTCCGAGCTTACATCGCTCGAGGGGGAAGATTCTGATCCTGAATCTGACTCAAAGTCAGAAGCAGAAGCCACCCGTGCGCAAATTCGAGCACGTTTGTGCTGATTAGAGTGGCTATCCAACCCCAAGTCTCGCTTGTTGCCCGACCCCGATGGTTGGGGTTGATGGGACTTGCCCAAACCATCCACGTGGGTTTTTCGACATATCATCGGTTGCAGATGTATGCGCCTCTACGGGCACATTTTTCTGCTTAGGTATACCATCTAGGTCCTGTATGGACCCTTTGATGGAAGAAAAGTTATTCATACCAATCTATGCAAGTGAAAACGATCAAAACTTACGGAATGGCCGGCTCACGTGTCTATCTACATTGAGGCCATGATGAAGAAGGGTTTATGGGTAATTTGCCTCGCGAGATCTCGCAGAGCGAGACTTCGCTAGCTTTAAATATGGCCTACTTCCGGATATCATGATGAAGATACCAATATCACATCGCTATATTAGAGTGGCTATCCAACCCCAAGTCTCGCTTGTTGCCCGACCCCGATGGTTGGGGTTGATGGGACTTGCCCAAACCATCCACGTGGTTTTTCGACATATCATCGGTTGCAGATGTATGCGCCTCTACGGGCACATTTTTCTGCTTAGGTATACCATCTAGGTCCTGTATGGACCCTTTGATGGAAGAAAAGTTATTCATACCAATCTATGCAAGTGAAAACGATCAAAACTTACGGAATGGCCGGCTCACGTGTCTATCTACATTGAGGCCATGATGAAGAAGGGTTTATGGGTAATTTGCCTCGCGAGATCTCGCACAGCGAGACTTCGCTAGCTTTAAATATGGCCTACTTCCGGATATCATGATGAAGATACCAATATCACATCTACTATGTTTATGACATGAAATTGCCACTCATACTCCATCATGTCTCGTTGCATCATTCAAAATGTCAAAAACTGAACCATGAGAATTCAGTTATCTGCCACCTTCCCCGAAGGCTGTCACTGCAGCTATGTTCGTACACTTTGAAAAGCTTGGCCAACAATCCAGTCCCAAATGATGAGAACAATGTTCCAAGGAATCCCAAGTTAGTCGAAGGTACACAAAGCAGCACTGTCACTCTTCCTCGCATGCCGGGGTGGAGGCACCTACGTGAAATCATGATCGACACTCGCCGGTCATAAAAATTAACAGTCTTTGGTGACTTACAGGTCATAGGTCGATCAGAAAAGGATCTATTCTTCGATTCTGCAGGGTTCAGGTTCGACAGTCAGTCAAGTATTTTCCACTGTCACTTCGAATTTCAACCTTTCGCAATATGTAAACACTGGCTCGTCCGCCATTTCAAACTGTTGCGTAACTGTCTACTTCCAAGAAAATAAGTAGGTCAGACGATTCCATTATAGTGTGGACAGGGGGGTACAGTAACACGGCACACAAAACAATAGGCTGGTTTCGGTCTTGTGGAGTTATGATTATAAAAATCAAGCTCTTAGGTGTTACATTATTACATTGAATAAACAGTAGTTTGTTTTCTTTGGACAGAATATTTTTTATGTTGCAATGTTAAAAAAAATACGAAAGGAACCTACCGCTCCTTTATCAGACGAGTTCAATTCGCCTCTCATCACATGCCGGATTACGCAGTGTCTTCCGCAGGACGAGGAAGTTCGATGTTAAATCGGCTACACGTTCGGCTTCAAATGAAATTTAGAGACTATCAATTCAGTCTCACATTCATCTAATTTCCAAACACAGTACGTTTATCTCCTAATTCGAACCCAAAAAACATAGGATTCTGGCGTACCCAAAGGGACGCAACTCTGTGGCGCCTCACACGACTGGGCTCCCTGTGCCTCTTTCGCCCACTGTAATATGGAAATAATCGAGATTGGTTTTTATCTGTCGTTGACGTTTTGTATCATACTCAGTATAACATTTTCCCCAGCTTAAATTGACAGAAGTGTGTTCATCTGATTCGAAAGCGCGTTAGTACGAGGCTGCGATCTGGAATGTTGACCCCTACCGAAACGTATTAAGCAGACTGACTGACTGACTGAGTTTTGGTTTTACGCCGCTTTTAGCAATATTCCAGCAACAACACGGCGGGGGACACCAGAAATAGGCTTCACACATTGTACCCATGTGGGGATTCCAACCCGGGTCTTCGGCTTGACGAGCGAACGCTTTAACCACTAGGCTACCCCACCGCCCCTGTATTAAGCATAAGTGAGTGAGTGAGTATGGTTTGACGCCACTTTTAGCAATATTCCAGCAATATCACGGCGGGGGACACCAGAAATGGGCTTCACACATTGTACCCATGTGGGGAATCGAACCTGACTCCCACCGCCCCTATTAAGCAGTTGAGTTATCTGACCTGCAGGTAGGGTGGGAGAGGTATTCCATATCAGGTCAGTGATAGGAGAAATTGAGATAAATACGTCAAGGGTCATACCGTAATAAAATGGAGATAGGATACACTGGATATAGGTTTGTTTGAGTTTAGTTTTACGCCACACAGAGCAATATTCCAGCTATATGGCGGAGGTCTGTAAATAATCGAGTCTAGACCAGACAATCCAGTGATCAACAACATGAGCATCGATCTATGCATTTAGGATACGATGACATCAGTTGATATAAGACCACACGATAGCGTAATTACTTTTGTGATGCAGTTGTAATAAGGAAATAAATCAACATCGGCCAAAGGACAATTTTGTGTCAAAGGCAAAGGTCACTGGTCACAAGGTCACCCGGACATCATACTTCAATAGCTGCCGTGACTCAATGTCAAGGTCGATTATATAAAGTCACATTCATAAGGTAAATTGGTTGGTTGAACTATCAAATGAAACGTAACAGTTAACAACACATAATGACTTTATTCACGTACAATAATATTTTTCACCAAGATACAGAAGCATATTTACTCATTTTGGGTGTCACCAAAACGTTCGAAGACGTCAGTTTCGTTAACATTTTCAAGTGACGTGGCGTCATTTTATGCAACACTACGATCTCATACAACATGGCTGACAAAATCCGGCCTTATATGTCCAATAATATCACAGCCCGTAATTCATTCTGATCTGGGACAAGACGGTGGGTTGAATTCCCCAAACACGTTGAGCTCGTACAAGCACGTCAGAGCGATGACGAAGACGTAGACAACGAGGTACACGACGCCGAGGGGCTTGTTGAGTCGCCAGCTGTTGATTGTAAGGGACAAGATCAAGAAGACCACAGTTCCAAGCAAGGTCAAGGACGAGTACACAAGCCCGCTGCTGGAGATTGACAACGATTCGCCCGGAGTGACGGCAGCTGTTTGGAGTAACCATGGCAACCCGAGGCAAATAAGAATGTCGAAGACGTTGCTTCCGATAGAGTTGGAGACCGCCATGTCACCAAAACCTGGAAATACAGAGAACGTTTGCATGACATAATGGTAGCTTGAGATCTCTTCTGAGAAATGGTAACACTGTGTATTTACAAATGCTGGGATATTTACAAATGCTGGGATAGTTACAACACGGTTGGATTAGCATTAACGTCAGCATTGATTATCGCCGCGAAAGTGAACGAGTGAGTTATTTTTACGCCGCTTTTAGCAATATTCCAGCAATATTACGGTGGGGGACACCAGAAACGGGCTTCACACATTGTACCCATGAGGAGAATTGAACCCTGTCCTTCTGCGTGAAGAGTGAACGCTTTCACCACTGGGCTAGCCTACCGCCCCTTCCAGCGAAAGAAAACTTCTGAGCATACATATACGTATACTCTACATAGTGATCCGAGAGAGGGAGAGAGAGAGAGAGAGAGAGAGAGAGAGAGAGAGAGAGAGAGAGAGAGAGAGAGAGAGAGAGAGAGAGAGAGAGAGAGAGAGAGAGAGAGAGAGAGAGAGAGAGAGAGAGAGAGAGAGAGAGAGAGAGAGAGAGAGAGAGAGAAAGAGAGAGAGAGAGAGAGAGCGAGAGAGAGAGAGAAAGAGAGAGAGAGAGAGAGAGAGAGAGAGAGAGAGAGAGAGAGAGAGAGAGAGAGAGAGAGAGAGAGAGAGAGAGATTACCGTAAGTTACATAGTTTAGCTCACGTGTACAGGGAATTTCGAAGTTATGTGTCTTCAGAGCTTCGAGTAAAGCGGTATCGTATCAGAGTTAAAGATCTGAATTTATGAAACTGGGTTCCGCCAGAGAAGAGCACCGATCTCGTCCCGCCATACCCAACGTGCAACAGAATAGCGTCATCATGACGTTCACGTACCGTCCCTGGCGACAAACACGCTGGACAGACAATCGGGGACGCTGGTGCCGGCAGCGAGGATGGTGAGCCCCATGACGGTGTCGGGAATGTTGAGGGCGTCCCCTGTAGTAACAAACACAGCACAAACAGTAAGTGACATCAATTGCCAAAAATATACGTTTTTTTTCTTCAAGAACAGCATGAATGTAAGTTTGTCCAACTGTCACAGTCTTCCATGTAAGAATGTGTCTTCAACAAACAAGGAGTGTGTATGTTGTGTCAAGGTTGACGTAATAATAATATTATTTCAATATGGCTTTTACACCTTATTTGAATCTACACCGTTTATTTGAAATAAATAATTCAAAACGTTTCTAAATTAGACTGAAAGCAATCGCCAGAACACTGCAGACCCAAACAATGGAACATAAATGTTTCGTGTGACAGAGTGTATTTAACGTTGCTATAAACTTAACAGTAAATGTTACCATGACAACATGGTATTTACAGTCGCATCAGGTAAGTTTGTTTGTTGTTTGTTGTTTAACGCCGCACTCAGCAATATTCCAGCTAAACTCAGGGGCAAAAGAAACGCTGGTTTTATAAACATTGACACAATTTTTATCCACACCTAAAACCATGGTCAGATACATTGTAAAAGCATTCTCCCAAACGTAACGGTCATTTCTTTGGCCTCGTATTGAATCTGCATCACAATTTTTCTGTGAAATGTGGGTTTTTCGGGGTTTTTTCGAGAAAATGCATAAGGAAAATTCTGTGCAAGGATCGGGTATAAATCATGCCCAGAGTCCTTCCTTAGCATTGAATGGTTGGATTTCACCAACAAGAATGTCACGTTTGACGTCTGAGCAGCGAGAGAGAGCGATAGGGATGTTGCAGATGGGGGCAACTCAGGCCAGAGTTGCACAAATCATGTGTTGCCACAAAACCACAATTGAGAGGATGATGAAACGTCTCAGAGATATTAGTCGGACATCAAACAGACCATGAAGTGGAAGACCACGGGTAACCATGGCCAACGAAGACCGCCATCTTCGTCTGCTGCACCTCCGTGACAGGTTCCTCACTGTGACGTCATCAGCACGAGATGCTATACAACACCCCGTCAGCAGGAGGACTGTAGCCAGACGTCTCTGCCATTTTGGTTTGAGAGCTTACCAACCCTTTAGGGGAATGACCTTGACCCGGCAACATCGACTCAACAGATTGAGGTGGGCTCGCATTGTGCAACGCTGGCAAAGACTACATTGGGACAGAGTGCTGTTTTCGGATGAAAGCAGGTTCCAGCTTTACAGTGCTGACGGCCGAGTGCGAGTTTACCGGCGTAGAGGCGAACGAACGTCACGTTGCTGCGTCCAAGAAGTGCATCCTCGTGGCGGCGGTGGTGTGATGATTTGGGGCAGTATTTGTGGTGGCACTAAGACCGACCTGGTGGTTACAAATGGTACCCTCAACGCTGACCGCTACATTAACCAGGTCTTGACACCAGTCGTGCTTCCAATCCTGCAGAATAACCCAAGAACGCTGTTCCAACAGGATAACGCCACTCCACACACTGCACGTGTTACCAGAGAGTATTTCAATGGCAACAACATACAAGTTCTTCCGTGTCCAGCCAGATCCCCTGACATGAATCCCATAGAACACCTCTGGGACCATCTTTGGAGACGGATTCGGCAACGTCAGCAACGTCCACATGACAGACACAGTGGCGTCACATCACTCCAGCCATTGTGAGGGGACTGGTAACGTCTGTACGACATCGTGTCAGGGACTGCATACTTGCTATAGGTAGACATACTCGCTATTGATGATGGAATGTGACTTTTAACTGATTTGTGTAATGGTAACATGAAATGGAATGTGAACGAATTATGGACAATCCAACACATGTTACAAGAATGCTCACTATTCCTTACAATGTCATCATGTGGTTGTTAAAGTCGGTCAACCTGATGTTAATTGTTGTGTCTGTGGAATACAATGATATCTGTTGACATACCTTGTCATATGTTTTTATTAGATGAGAAAATTAGAAGCCAGCGTTTCTTTTGCCCCTCAGTTTATATGGCGGCGGTTTGTAAATAATCGAGTCTGGACCAGACAATCCAGTGATTGACATCACATAAGCATTGATCTATGCCAATTCCTAGTAATGCAGGTCGATCGATCTACAACTGGGATACGATGACATGTGTCAACAAAGTCAGCGAGCCTTGACCCCCCGATCCCGTAAGTATCTTCACGGGTGGGTCACGTCTGTTAACAGTGGGTGAGTGAGTTTAGTTTTACGCCGCTTTTAGCAATATTCCAGCTATATCACGGCGGGGTACACCAGAAATTGGCTTCACATATTGTACCCATGTGGGGAATCGAACCCGGGTCTTCGGCGTGACGAACGAACGCTTTAACCACTACGCTACCCCACCGCCCCCGTCAGTTAACAGTTAAGCCCTGAAGCGTTCGACAATGCCATAAACAAGTCTAATGAAGTCGGTCAGTCACTTTAAAGTATCTGCTACCGTTGTCATGGCGATGGTAACCATGTGAACCAGTATTACCTGCAATCGTTACCATCCACACCATGACGTAGGAGAAAGCGGCAATCCAAACAATGGACAAGGTGAAGGTCAGGGGATACGTCTTCCGCCATTTTCCAGGACGTCGACAGTCGGGTACAGTGAAGTGAAGCATAAACCGGATGGGGATCATCACAAACCAGTAGAAGCGATGGATCACTCCGTCAGGCACGGTCCAAGGAGATTCGTACTCTAGGAGAAAAAGTTGATTTTGCTAAAATTAAGGCAAATCTTTTTTTAACGAGTGAGTGAGTATGGTTTACGCCGCTTTTAGCACTATTCCAGCAATATCACGGCGGGGGACACCAGAAAATGGCTTCATACATTGTACCCATGTAGGGAATCGAACCCGGGTCTTCAGTTTGTCGAGCGGGCGCTTTAACCACTATGCTAACCCTCTGCCCTGTTCTAACGAAGGGGGGCGGTGGGGTAGCCTAGTGGTTAAAGCGTTGGCTCGTCACGCCGAAGACCCGGGTTCGAATCCCACATGGGTACAATGTGTGAAGCCCATTTCTGGTGTCCCCCGCCGTGATGTTTCTGGAATATTGCTAAAAGCGGCGTAAAACCAAACTCAGTCAGTCAGTCAGTCTAACGAAGGATCGCTGTCCAAAGTCTCACCATAGTGTTCAGATGTTAGGTATTAGTTGTCTGTGTGAAACCATTATGACACTATTTGCCAAGTGATTATTAAACATTAACACACTCTGAGATGACATGCATAACAAGTTGGTGGTTAATGATCTTGAACAACCTACTAAAAGCCTTCTTATCAGTCACAGTCGAGATTCCGTAACTAGAAAACAAATGGGTATTTTTCTATTTCAGGCACAGAGCTCGTTATTTACAAAGCTGCAGCTTTACATCTCAATACACGCATACTTTCAGTTGTTATTGGAGATAAGAGTAGGTCTGAGACATTATGATCAATATTTTTCAGGTGTCCAAAGCGTGAGATGCTCAGTCGTGCATGTAGGGCAAACCAGTGCGCAACAATATTCACAACTAGACGGGTGACCAGTCCGTGGGTACAAGCTCGGTTACTGGCTTGTAGGTCGACCACCAGCTTAGAAAGCTCATTCGCCTCATTTTTTATCAATAATGAGTGAGTGAGTGAGTGAATTTAGTTTTATGCCGCTTTTAGTAATATTCCAGCAATATCACGACGGGGGGCTCCATAAATGAGCTTCACACATGTATTCCCATATAGGGAATCGAACCCTGGTCTTCGGCGTGACGAGCGAACGCGTTCACCCCACTGACCCTTTTATTAATACTCTTGGCTCTTCCAGTGAGAAAACTTAGGCATCCTGTGCTGGTCATACTTGTTTGTTTGTTGAAGTCTGGACCAGACAATCCAATGATTGACTGACACCAAGACCAAGCTGCTTTCATTATTTATTCATTATTTTTCGAGAAACTGTGGGGTAGCCTAGTGCTTAAGGCGTTCGCTCTTCACGGATTCGACCCGGGCTCGATTCCCCACATAAGCACAATGTCTGAAGCCCATTTCTGGTGTCCGCCGCCGTGATATTGCTGGAATATTGCTAAAAGCGGCGTAAAACTAAATTCACTCACTCTTTATTTTACGGTTGTGTCGAACCTCTGATAACTCGAAGTATTTACGTAAGTGTCTTCAACCTCAAGACAACGGTGTTTAACTGTAACTGGAATAGACGACTAATACAAATCAACCCGTCAAATATGTGGTGAGGATGCATGTGCGTGTGTGTGTGCGTGCGCGTGTTTTCGGATGCTACCTCGTGTCTGATTATGCTGGTATCGCGACATCGGACACTGA